TAACTTGCTTTTTGCACAATACTACTACATTTAGATTTTTTAAAGTCTGTTCATGGCTGAAATGTATGGGAGTTGTGAGATGGTAGGAGAATGATGATTTGGACTCATTAAAACAGAAACATCATGCCAGGCAGCTCTGTTGTTTGACCATAACTGAAATGCATATGAGGTAAGTGACAAATCCTTAATATTTATTACAGTAAAAATAAAATCTGATTCTTGTCTGAAGGGCCATTTATCCAACATGTGTAAAGTGTACCTGGAATTTTTACCTTATGTAGTGATTCATCATAGACACTGATGGCAAATAATTTAGCAATTGTTTTAGTGGAACAGGAACATACTGACACTGTAAGACTCGTTTGATTCAGTGATTTGAGGACTAAAATATAAATGGATATTGCAGACTTCTCAGGAGTTTTTGAGTCAAATCCTTCTCATCTTATGTGAGTAGAGCCGCTGAGTTATAGGGATTATTTGTGTGAGTAAAGCAAGCAGAGATATGGGCCACATTTTGTAATGACTATGGAGGATTAAGTTATGAGGTCTGTATGGCATTTTCTATTTTAGGCCAACAGCTTTGAGGCCTCACTAACATGAGTCTGAGTCTTGTCTGTCTGAACCTTTTTGGATAATGTCTTGACAACTTTGTAAATTATGTAAAGCACATTGTGCTGCTGTTGTCATACTGTTACATGACATGGAGTTTAAACGATATTTGATTGACTTTCTTTCTACACAGAAATCTAGCACCAAAGGGCTTGATCTCAACAGGAACTGAGCAGTTCTGCTCCTACTAACTTCATTGGGAGCTAAGAGTACTAAGCACCCAGCCCTTTGCAGCAATAAAGCAAACAACAGGAGGAGAAATCTGGGTGGAGATGTTTTATTTCTGTCATGCAAGCTAAAGACATTACAAGACAGCCTCTCTCTCCTGATTCAGATCATCAAAGGCATTTGAAGCTGAAGCCCCAATGGTACAAACAAAAACGGGGGGGACTGCTGACAAGGCACTCTCTTTGGGGGCTCTGCCACTCTGGAATTCACCTGATGGTCAGAAATAGCCTGAATTTAAGGACTATCAGGGTACAGTGCAAATCTTAGCTTTTTTTACAGGCTTTTGAACATAGTAGAGAATTGTGAGAGTGGTGAGCTGCTGGAGAAGAAGGGTGGTTTCAGCTTTTGATTTGCTTTGGTTTCTGGCTGTGGGTCACACTGAATGTCATTGATTCATGTTAGCTAAGTTGGAGTGTTCTTTGGAGGTTTTGTGTACTTTCAAATTATATCAGGGGAGTGTAGAGCATATGGACAGATACCCTTTTTTAACGTGTGCATATAAATACAAGATATGTAAAGTAAAGGTCTATCTGATTTCCATTTTAGGAACCATGGAAATATAAATGCCGCTGTTAGCAACCAAATATTAATTACCATGACTAGTGCTTAGATAATAATGGCAGCTCAACACCTACACACAGCTAAGTAAATAACCAGGCTCCTATAGACTTTAGCATATGAAGACATTTATTCTTCTTTAACTATTGATGTGAATTTTGGTCTCTCCCCAATCTCCAAGTACCACTTGGAAACAGCTCTCTGTGGTGAGTATCACTTCCACAGATTTGCAGGGATTGGGACACAGTAACTATGTCCTGGCTTTCCTTTCATATTGCTTCTATTCCCAAATTACATGAAGGGCCAGCCAGAACTTGACCCATAAAAAGATCTACTCAGATATGGATCTTTACAAGCCCTGGTATTCATACAGTGATGTTATCAGATTTCCTAAATAATTTTGATTTACTCTACATCAAACAATAAAAAAAATAAAATGGGTGTGTTGATTCTTTTATTTGGACTAAATTATTAAATCAGCAAGCTTTTGATAGACAGGGGAAAAAATGGACCTCTGGCCTGATTCAGTCTTCATTGAGGTCCATGGAAAGACTCCCATTGACTCCCAGGGGCATTGGATCAGGCTCCAAATGAAGTTTTCCTTTGAAAGTTCAGTAAAACTTATCAATAATGTGCACAATACCTAACATCGTCCGAAAGAACACGATGGACCAAGCAGGGCTACAGTTGATATGACTGACAACAGAATTTGGCCCAAGATGGATAATCTGGTCACGGATGCACATCTAGAAGTATGTGATCTTGAGGTTGAGGGGACCTTTTGGTGAAGCTTTATGCATCAAGTAGCCATCATGATCTCAAAATTTGCTTTATTAACTGCACCTAAAAATAGGTAACCTAAACTAAAATGTACATGACAGTGAATTTTGTCCAGAACAACAGTGCTATTTTTATGGACAAAGCGAGAAGATTTTTATTGTACATATTACTAGTATGTAAAATACTATGGAGCTGCCGACAGTGACTCCATAGTAAAGACATTTGGCTATAAAGCCTATTCAGCCTCTTTGTTGTGTATGAAAAATACAACCTATCCTCCCAAATTTACAGCACTTATTCTTGAGCACAAGATGAATTTACAAATAAATCTGTTAATTTGTGTATGATTTATAATAAATTAAAATTTGGGTCCTTTAAGAAACTTAGCATTTTGTCGGTCTTTTCTTTGTCCTGAATGATCTTAACACTGGAATAAAGTAGACTCTTCAATTTTCCATATAGTTAACAGAAATCTTGTGCATAGGCTACATTTGAAGAAATTAATTTGTAATTAAGATAAGTTATTAATGATCATTGTATCTAATTGTTATGAATGGAAATAAATATTTTAAAAATCTAATGTGCCTTTCAAAATCAATTTAATTTAATTTAGAACCACAGATACACTAAGTTGCCTAAATCAGAATCATATGGTCATCCTCTGGAGTTACTGCAGAGTAAAGTTGTTTGGGTACTTTAACTAGGTACTTCTTATCTTTAAATGCATGGATTTTTTTTCAGTAACTGAATTGTCTGGATTTCTAATGCTTGGTTTTGGGATGCCTACAGCATCCCTGTAATTTGTTTTTAACCTTAATTTGCTATATGATGGAGTTAAAGTTAAGAGCATGTACCATAGTTTTCTGTCGGAAAATAAGAATATATTGGTTTTATATATTATAACAGCCAGAGTTCAGAGGACTCTAGAATTACAATGCATAACTGTACACTCATCAGTTATTCATTTCTCTGCATTCTCAGAGGCTCAGATTTCCATTAGAGTGTATAGTTATTTCTTAGTAACTATACAGTACAAAAATGCCTGTACTCTGAAGGACATTAGCCAAATGGAATAGAGGAATGTACAGTGATTATGACAATCCCTCAGCTTTGATTGGTTACTGTCCTTGGTATTCTCCGTCCATTAACCCACAGCAAACATGGAAGCACAACTTCTGACTTACCTCTCTGCTATGTTACTCAGTACCCTACTTAATTTGTAAAATGGCTCCAGTTCAGAAAGGAACTTGAGCATGCACTTAAATCTATTCGGGAAAGTACTTAAGTACATGCGTAAATCCCATAGGACTTTTCTAACTAGGGATGTTTTCCTGAACTGGGGCCTCTGTGTGTGGAGAGAGAGGAAGGGGAGAGACAGGGTTTGTCTTCACTGCAACAGTTAGCTTGAGTTACGACATTCAAGCACTCCATTGACTTTAATGGACTTTAGATCAGGGGAGTTCAGAGAGGCAGTGGCCAGTCAGAACCAGCATGTTTTATAGTACCAATAAGAATGCAAGATTGAAAGCCTGGATGGTACATTTCATTATAAATAACAGAAATACAATATCTTGCTGTTCCCTGCTAAATGATTAGCCAACATATTCTGGATGTTCATTCTTAGAGTTTGTTTACTCCAGGATATGAGTGTTTGAATATTTTGAATACAGGAAGCAACTTCCATTTATTATTTCATCAAATATACTGTCACTTATAGCAGAGGAAAGAAACAAAAGCAACTTTCACAAAAAGCAAAAAGGCCATAAACATAAAGCAAATAGGACCAATCATGCTGCCGTTGACATCAATGTTAGAAGAATCGGTCCCAATATTTTGTTATATGTGCTATAGAAGTAGGATCACTACCAAGTGTAGCTTTAGGGCCTGATCCCACAAACATTTACACACAAGTAATTTTACTAAGGTGAGTAGATCCATTTAAGTTACTCATGTGCAAAAGTGTCTGGGACTGTATTTTGCCCATATTGAAAATTAAATTGTATATAATTGTATGTAATAGTACATCATTGCAAAGGAATAATAAGTACAAAGCCAGAGCTAATCCACCTTATAACATAATACAGGATTTTAGTTAAAAATTTTAACTTTGTAGATTGTACCATTTATTTTATTATGTGTAATTATATTACTCAATGTCAGCCTACTTCAGTTTTGGCTGCATTTTATTAATTGCTTATACAACCATACAGATATTATTACTATAGTTGCCATTGCTGTATTAATATATAGTTATATTTTAACACTTTTTAATAATGTAACAATGCCAATATTTATTTAATTTTTTAAAATATTTGAATTTGTGTCTCTCCCTCACCCCCATTTACAGTCAGCCATTCGTTTAGAGGCACATGACAGTGCTGCTTATTTTTAAATATACAGCAGACCTAAATGTATAGCTTTCTTGCAGTGTTCTGAACCATTTTCATAAGGTGCTTATAACAGAGTGCCTCACAGACCACCTCCCCTCCCACTGGCCATCTCAAAGGAACCTTGTGGCAACTACAGCAGATGCTTACCTAAAAAAGTAATAGTAGACTGGACCAGGTACCGGCATCACTTATTTTGAAGCATGAGGCAGACTTGGAGCTACAGAAGAACGCAATTGGCAGATTAAAGGTGGGACAATTCAAAGAGGATCTGATTCACGTTTATTGTTAATAAGGGCCTGATCCAAAGCCCATGAAATTCAATGGGATTCTTCTAGCTGACTGCCATAGGCTTTGAATCAGACCATAAAAATTTAGGGGAACAAATTAAGACATAGCTAAAAATACATTTTCTTATCTTTTAATACTGTTTTGTAGATGGAAATGAGAACAGCTAGCACCATGTGACCAACCAACTCTCTACAGACCATCACCTCTGTGATGAACCTGGTATAAGGATCTGAACAGAAGGCTCAACGGACTACCAGTGGTCAACTGTAATACTAATATCAGTGTTAACCCATATTTGTATGGCATTTTTCAAAAATTCATGTTCCTATATGCAAAATTCATATTCTATACTAATTATTACAGTATCTATTATATCTGTAAGATGCATACAAATGTAAAGTATCTGTTATAAAGCAACTAAAGTCCAAAATATACTTATTTTAATTATCTCATGAAAAGTTTGGGTTGAATATTTTGCCTTTTATTACCAAGGTAGCATAACATAGTTTCCACACTTTTACCAAAAGAGTAGCAGTCTTTGCACTGTACAAAGATCTTTCTTTGTTAATTCCTGAATACCACTTTAAAAGTGAAGAACACAAAATAGATTTTCACATCACTGATTACACTAATTAATTCCTGATGGTTTAGCAGCTACAGAATCTGCTGCCTAGGTAAAACTGTTTGCTAAATCACAGTTACTGAATATCAAAAAACCTAAACCTTTTGCATAAGTATATTTAGTGCCTTTTCAAAGCCCTTTGTTTCCACAGCACAAACTGCAAAACCTTCTGCCACTTCCACAGATAGTATGAACACAGACTGGACTCCTATACTGAAAATTCAGAGATATAACACAGTGTAGGACAACGCAGTATCTTAAAATCCAAAATGGTACCATGCAAAGTTTTAAGAACACTCATAATGAAATCTAGTAGATCCTTATTAAACAATGTTTAAGAGGAAAGGTTCATTGTAAAAAAAAGAAGTCTTTTGTCTTGTGTAGCAATTTTTTTAAAATGTATTTTGACTAGAGAACACCAATTTTTATTTTAAAATCTACTTTATTTAGTTTTATTAAAAACAGATACTGAGGATATTTTGTACAGTATGCCAAGAGATACTAATTGCCTATATAAACCTAAAATAGAAAAGTGCATTTTTCCCCAAATGAAATTAGATAGAAAATATTACACAATCATGGAAATAAGTAGAAATACTTACCTTCTTTCCATATGAAAATATCTTTTGAAGATAAAATAGCCCTGGTGGTGGAATGAAAAACAAAACTGAGGTATATAATTCAAACACATATCAAAAAACCCCACATCTTCCTCCATAAAGAATGCATATTTCTAAACTTCTGTGCCTCTCTCCCACTCCTACTATTAAATGATAAGGACTCTATCTCAAAATACAAGTTAAAATACTCTCCTGTTTCCTAGCTGTAGGAACCAACATACTGTATAAATGCTAGCTATTGTTTCAGAAGTCATGCATCTCGCTGTACAAAATTATGGCCAGTTCCCAAGTGAAGATTTGATACCAGAAGAGCTTCTCAAGGCGTAATGAGAGCAGATTCAGAAGCACTGTGTTTCCCATCTTGTTAAAAGAAGTTGTTATTTTCAGTAAGAGATTTCCAATGATCAGCACATATACATATCATAATTTAATTGCTAAAGAGGGGGAAAAATCCTGTTAGTGCTACACACAGTTGTTTTTACTGGCAATGGTGTGCATTTTAAAAATCAAATACTTAAGTAACGTAACCATGACCAGCAATTCCTGAAAAGGATTTCTAACCTGAAAACAGGTAACTATTCAAATAAGGCACAAAACCCATATTGGCTTAATCTATGAAAGCACTGCTACTGCTTTCATAGTGCGGATTCTCCACACTGTTAATCATTTGCTGCAGTCTTTGTGCAAAAGTATACGGTATAAACAAACTAGTAACATAATGCCATCCAGTACTCAGGAGCTAAACAAAATCATGGAGAATCATTCATACTTTAAAACACGCTTACAACACATATGTTTTAACACGGTATATAGATTTTCCTGGGTTTTCAAAGTTAAAAGTACCAAAGACTGAGGCATTTACTAAGACATTTTTGTTCCAGTGTGATACTGATCCAATACCAGACATGATGACACACGATGGGCATTAAAACCACACTGTCAGCCTTAGTAAATTAGGAAAATTAGGTATCATTTGATGATATTCTATTGTTGCTATATTGTAATCACAGTAATTTTCACTGGTAATGGTGCTTCGTGATGAAGTGCGGTTCTCACAGGAAAATTGTGAAAGGTATCGAAAGATTCAGAATGTAGCATCTGGTTTTAAAAGCTCTTCAGATTCAAATTGGCATTTTACTTTATCTTGAAAATTTATTAGAGATTCAGATCATGCCAGTTTAAATGGAAAGGTGAAAGCAGGGTAATTTCATTCTATGAATTATTCAGTTTCAGACTGGTGAAATTGCCATCCATGAACTGATTCTCTGACAGTCTCTTTTGCAGAACCTCCATTACGCTTGTCATTTTTATTTCTTTATCTACGATCTTTCTCTCAGTTACTGAGCTTGTCCCTTAGGGCTCTGCTTCACAAACCAAGTATTTCAAATTGGCAATAACCTAAATGTGTTGCTGTCTCAAATCACAGTCTCCATAGGCTGTCTTTTCCAAATCATTAAAAACCACATCCATGATGATTGTCTGTTAGGCTCTTCAATTAGATGAATTTTAAAAAAAACAGAAAAGAAAAAGAGGAAGGCATCATATCAAAAACAAGAGTTATGTTCCTGTAACAGCCCAGAAGATAAAGTGATGCTTTGTGCTTCCTCCTTTGTTGTCAGTGTAACCCATTCTAGCTGCATAGCATCACGCAGAAAGAAACAACTGTTAAAGCAGGCTGACTTAGTGCCCTGATTTCCAGCAAGAGCAGATAAGGACTGCATTACAGACAGACTAATCCACACAAATATACACTTAGAGACCAAGCACAATTAATAGCTGCTGACAGGGAAAGAAAAAAAAAAAAGAAGCAACTGGATAACCGAAAGTAGAGTGTTTCATTCTCACAGGCTCCAACTGACACAGATTGCAATCCCAGAGACTCTCCACTTGATGGCTGGTTGTGTCATTGCTAGTCGACTGCTGCCCTGTATCCAGAAGGACTGGGATTGATTTAGGTCAGCGAGTCTGGTTTCTTGTTTGAGCTTTGCTCTAACTGCTGCAGTTTCTTACAATCAATCAATAGTGCCAATATTATATGTGACTCTTGGCTCGTTTAGACAGCTTCAGCAGTGAAGTGGCTGCAAAGGCCCCAATCAGACAGAGAGTGAGAAGTGCCGCCTCCTTTGTCCTATTCTTGCAGGTATATCACCGTGGTATAAGAAACTATTAGTAAACAAGGTGGGAAACCAGTTGTTCTTCATCAGAGGCAATTTGGGTATCAGGCTCCGAGCAGTAGCTGCTCAGCTGAAAACGCTGCCAAGTTAGAAGCACATCCAGGCTGTATGTCTGCTCTTATGCTAACAAAAGTAAATTTCCCTCATACAAAAAAACCGATCGAAGAATAAAAAACCTACGTTGCTTTGTGTCTAGTTCTATGCGTCTGCTTTGCCGCACTGCGACTAGAAAACTGCAGCACTAAGAGCTCTGGCAGTTGCGATAATGTAGAAAGCAGCAGCTCTGTGACACAGCAGTCAGCTGACTTGCAGTGTTATCATTCAATGTCCTCTATAGGATAAGGCCAGTTTCTAAGGTAGCACCAGAAGGATGACCTTGCATACAAAAATTGGACTAGAAAAAGTAGCTACACTCAGATACACCTGGCAGTGATTTTTGGTGCCATTTTCCATCTACATAGTTTTCAGCAGCTTCACAGGGTCTTGAATTTTTTTACAAGAAATTCCTTACAAGAATGGAACATGTCTATTGGATAGTTAACCTCCCATCATCAAAATAGTCAATATGATAAGCTATTGTTAATGACAACAGTTGCTATGACTGAAGTACAGTGTTACAAATGAACTAGAAAATGCTGAATTGTAAGTCATGTGCCTACAAAAAAGGTGAGGTTTATCTATGGAAGTATCTTGCCTGAATATGAACATGAACATGTCTCTGGCACATATATACTATGGGGTTTAGTGCCTTAGAAATATAAGCCAAGATTTGGGAAGATATGTGTTTGAAGTTAGATCCCTATTTAGGCATCTAAATAAATGACCTGATTTTCATAGATGCTGCTGATTATTATGCAGCTCCCAACTGAAGTCAGTTGGAGCTGTTGGGTGCTCAATACTTTTGATAATCAGGACACTTGTCCAGGTACCTAAAGAGGGACTGCCAGGGGAGAATTTCAAAGGTACACATGGCAGCTGGGTGGCTAACTTCCATTCAAACTCAGTGGGAGTCAGGTGCCTAACTGCTGTTTGTGCCTTTGAAATTGTCCCCCTAGGATCCTAGATTTAGACATTTATCTTTGAAAATCTTGGCCACATATAATTCTAAAATTATTCTTATCGCGATGGCAGTTCCATTAGAAATGGTTAGAACACAATTAACTCATCATCTGTCTTAAATCATAGTGAAGTCCTACAAAAAGGCATGTATATTGTACGGTCTAAACACACTCGCGTAGGCTAAATTTTCCCCTACATTCCTACTGTATGCTGTGCATCTCAGTGAGCCACTAAAGTCAATGAAAAATATTTATAAAGGTGTTACCCTGTGGTTTAACACCACTAAGGGCTTGTCTACATGGTGCCAGCAAAGCGCACTAGAGGCGGTATGGTTTGTAAAGTTGCACTCTTAACACCTGATGTAGACCTGATGGTGCATTCTAAAAAAGGACCCACTTCCCATTAATGTAGTCAGGACTATGTTACTGTGAACTGGGTATCTTTTAGAACAGACCAACAGGGTCTGCACAGTGAAGTTAGAGCGCAGCACGGTAGTGCACTTTACAAATCACATCTCTCTAGAACGCTTTGCGGCACCATGTAGACAAGCCCTAAACTAAGCAAAGCAATTGCTATAAACTAGGTTGGTATTAATTGTAATGACTATCATCATACTGAATTACTTCAGTATTTAAGTGGAAGCAATATGGAATTATACTATAAATTAACAATTTGCACCAAAACCAGAATAAACTGTATTAAAATAACAATATTAAAAGCTTTGTTGTGACTTCTAAGCCACAGCTTTATGTTGGGAGAGAAATGGAAGGCATGATGGCCAGATCTCCCTGATGCACATAGGGCAGACATCCACTGCTATTCTGCTTTGGGAAAATGGGGCCATCGTCCTACTTCCTCCCTAACCATTTTAGGGTGACTAATGTCCCAGAGGGCATTAAGAGAGAACAGTTCTGTACTCAGGAAAATACAAGAACTCCAATAGTAGCCAGCCCCTATACATATTGCAGAAAAGTGGGGAAGTTTCTTGTGCCCCCCACCCTTTCCCCTTGGCAGGGCTAACCTGAATTAGTTTTTGCTGTGTCTCAGCAAAGCCACACATGGCATTTAAGATTGCCTTTTATTTTACTGTTGTGAGAC